AAAAATAGAATGCTTTGAGTTGACGAGAGTTGATGTGTTTGTGTATAAAAGCCACAAGGTACTCAGACAAGAATATAAATTTGTCAGACGAATTTGCTAAAGATATACTTGAATAGTCTTAAAGACTACAGAACTATAAGGCTTTAAAGAAAGCAAGTTTTGTAGCTAAAAACTTAATAACTTGTTCTTTTTTCAGACACCTTCAGCAGTAAACAAGATAAAACAGCTTCTTAAAGATAAGCCCGAACACGTAAGTAAAACCAATCAAATGAATATTCAGTAAAAAATTGAGGTTGTATTTTCACACTGAATTTATCTTGTGATAAACAGCATGTTTTCACTGGCTAGGGATTTTTATTTAAAAAGTAAAATATGCTCATGGTTTTTAGAAATTCAAATAAAATATAACAGGGTATTCAGTGAAAAAGACATCATTTGTGACCCCAAACTCTTGGCTGTCTTTCATCCTTCTAAGGGGCCACCTCTTAAGTGTCCTTCCTCAGACAATCTGTACATTTTTATCTGCCTACACTGGAGTTTCTCAGGCTCTGCACTGTTGATGTTTTGGGCCGGATAATTCTTTGTTAGAGGTGGATTGCAGGATGTTTAGTATTTCTCTGGCCTCTCTGCACTAGATTCCGGTGGCACCGCCCCACTCCTCAGTTGTGACAACCAATAATAATTCCCCGAGGGGCACTACTGGCCTAGATCATGCTTGGAATGTTTGTGTATCTCTTTGCCTACTTAGAGGAAAGCATTCCATACATGCTGTGGTTATGCTTTGCTTTTTGCCCCTAATAATATAGCTTGAAGTTCTTTCCAGAACATTACAGAAAGACCCACCTCATTCTTTTTTTATGACTGCATATATTAGTGTATTTTATTTATTTAGCCAGTCCTCCATATTAAAGGTCTTCGGGGTTGTTTACATCTAGTGCTGCCACAAACATCATTCAGCAAATAGTGTCTGTAGTGTGCCAGGCCCATTGTTCTAGAAGACTAAGCCTGTAAGCCTGGTTTAGTGCACCTATGTAGGCTGTCCTAGACGCAAAATTGTTGAGTAAGGGGAGTATGCATCACCTTCACCTTCGTGAATTGTTAGTTGCCTGTGGAATATTGTAAATTACATCCAAGTACTAAACTCTTAAAATTTAGTAATTAGACTATGGAATGGTTTCTAGGTTCTGTTGTACAACCTGCATTACAATGTAATGAAGTTCTGGCATGTTCCTCCTAAGAATTATTAAATGCTAAAAATATCAGTATGCCAACTCCATTAGGATAGACTAATGAAAAGAGTATATACGCATCGACCAAATGAAACACTGAGTGTAGGTTTGAGGGATGACAATGACATGAAAAGGATGGAGCAAACACTTCATTGGGTTTCATTGCTGGTACAAGCAGTCCCTTTTCCAAACTCCAGGTACCTAAAGCTGTATTTTCCTGTATTCTGTAAGTATCTGTATTCATTCCTAGGAGTTGGACTTTCTGCTTGCTTGAGTCTTTCCTGTTTATGAAGATAAAAGCTAAGTCAAGTCAATACTTAGGACCTGTGCTCCAGAATTTCAGCTAGACAGTTTACTATTGGTAATACTGAATATGTGAAACGCCCCACACGTTCTTTCAGCTCTCACTCTGAGAGTGAATAAAACCACAGTTCTGTCTCCTTGTTGTTTAAGGACAGAAGAGACTACTGTCAGGATGCTTCAGCTCATCAGAACTCCCAGGCAGCTTAGCATTCTAACTCCCGGTCTCACCAAGTGTCTTCCCACTCGTGATTGCTTTTCCTGAAGCAAGTACACATTGCTACTTTTAAGAGAATCAAGATCTGCTTGGTGAAATCATACTTTTTATGATAATACTTTTACTGTATACTTCAAAAAAGCAGATAGGATCCAAGAGTAGAAGTCCGGTAGATATTGTTAGAAAATCACATTAAGATAGACATTGGTATTTTAAAAGTGCAGTTTGGTCACTTTATAAACTTCTTAACATCTGTGTTGGCTGCAGTCTTTTGATTTCTGGTACTTGAGAATGTTTTCATAGTTCTGCCTTAGAATTAAGGCCCTGTGTAGAGGCAGGTATGATTGCCAGGGGACAGCCTGGGGACCTCAGTGAACCTAACCATAGGGAGGGAAATTTCCTGAGAACATCTCATGCGATGAGGTGGAGCACAAACGTTTTGAGGAAGTGAGAATTTGTTAAGTAGTCATCTCTGCCATCAGATAAGTTTCTTTTTCCTTTAAAAAAAAAAAAGTATTCATGTTTGGAATTAAAACTCTTCTTTAAGGGGGACCTGGATGTCTCAGTTGGTAGAGCATGTAACTCTTGATCTCGGGGTTGTGAATTCAAGGCCCACATGGGCAGAACTTACTTTAAAAAAACAAACAAACAAACAAAAACCTCTTCCTTTAAAAATGTTATTCGCAACCTAAACGGCTAATAGTAAGGGTTAAGTAGTTAACATGCCTTGGTATAGTGGACTGTTAAGGCATTATATGCAAATGATAATTGTGAAAGTTAATCACATGGAAGGATGATGTCTTAAGTGGCAAAAACAAATCAGAGAATTAAGACTTATTACTGTATAATAAAGCCTGTGTTTAGATTATATGTATATATGACAAGAACTGGAAGAAAAAAGGAAAAAAATATATGTTTAGAGTGAAAGTGACTGGTTTGGGGGGGTTTTCCCCCTATGTATTGTTTTGGGTTTTTTGCATATAATTGTTTTTATTTTAGGATTCCCCACTAGTATTGTAGTGCTGTTTGTTAAATGGCTAAATTTTTTAAATGCTTGTTCCCCTTTCCACTTATACTTCCTAAAGGGACATGTTATAGCCAGAAATCTAATATTCCTCTTTAAGCTTATGGAGAAACAAATAATGTCAAATAGCCAGGGTTTTTATAAATGCTTAATACGAACTACTTTAAAACTAAGTTTATATTTACACTGCTTTTTCAGGTAGGTCTGAAAGTTGGTGTCCGAACCAGGGGTTGTAATGGCCTTTCTTATACTCTAGAATATACAAAGACAAAAGGAGATTCTGATGAAGAAGTTGTTCAAGATGGTGAGTTTTAAGCATATATAGTGCTCGCTGTGAGGTAGGGTGGTTTGACAGACTTTCATATATCAAGTGATTTATACACAGCAGCTGAGTGAGATGGTACCATATTGTCCCCAGTTTTGCAGATGAAGAAACTGAGGCATGGAGAGGTGAAATAGCTTGCCTAAGGTCACTCAGCTAGTTCAGTGGCCTGGTGAAAAGTTGAACCTACTCAAGTTGATTCTAGAGGCTGTGCTCTTATCATTTGTTTGTTTATTTCAATTACAAAAGATAATCATTGTGTGCGGAAAGGTTTTAAAACGCTAAAACTTCAGACTGAGCCATCCATTTTTGTGGGAAGCAGCAGTTTGACATCTATACCAAATAAGTAATGTCATCTTATGCTTTTGAGGAATCTGTACTTTTAATTTTTATTTAAAATGTCAGTGCTTTAATTCTCTCTTGCCCCCGTGCCCCTACCCAGTAATCTGATAAAACCTATTTAAAAGAAAATAATGCCACAGCCTTGGGGGAACTTCAGCGTGCACGGGCATTTCAGTGGTGGCTCTGCGTCAGAGCTGTGCTGTCAGCTAGCTTGCAGGTTCCCACCGTTCATCTCATTAAACTGAAGTTACTGACCAATAATGACATTTTTGTTAATACGTTGTTTTTTAAATCACTACATAAAATACCTTAAATATTAAATTTTTCAGAAGATGAGCTCTAATAATTATATATAGTTTACATTTGAGTGAGTAGTTTCTTATAAGGAAGAAAGCTTTCTTAAACCAATTATATTTACGAAGATACCAACCTCTACCTGCATAGTTCTAGGGAGTTACGTTACTGCCAGTTTTCCGGCCCCTGAGCAGAAGAACAGAACAGCCCTGTTGCACTGATGGGCCTTATGACCCCAGGCCAGTGTATCACAGTCCTGTGCGTCTCTCGGCTTGCCAGTGTGTCCTGTGTACGGATGTCAGTTAAGGCTTTTCACATATTTCATGTTGCATATTGGAAAAATGGGTGAAGTATTGTGAAAAGCAAATTCTAGTTTTGCATGGAATTGTCATTGGAATATGCTTCTCTACAACTGCCAAGCCTAATACTGTGTTTGACATAGATTATTGGGTGGAAAAGAAGGGACAGACAGGAAACTGAGCCCTAATCTCTTAAAGGAAATAATGAAGCAGATTCAGAAGTTTCCTGTTTGACTTTTGTCAGTGGTTACTATTTAAAAAGTTCACTTGTGCTCTGAATCAGCAGGTTCCATAGACCTGCAGGCTTTATGTGACACGTGTTTTCTTCTCCCCAAGGAGTCAGAGTGTTCATCGAAAAGAAAGCACAGCTAACACTTTTAGGAACAGAAATGGACTATGTTGAAGATAAATTATCCAGTGAGTTTGTTTTCAATAACCCAAACATCAAAGGAACGTGTGGCTGTGGAGAAAGCTTTAATATTTGACTACTCTGGCTGTAAGCTCCAGGAAAACTCATGGAAGTCCTAGGGCTTACTGAAGAAATCATGTGACTGTCACGTGCTTAAAGTTTATAATGTATGACTGCCTTATGAGGAAAATAAAATGATGCCTTTTGAAAGTGAAGCCAGTGTGTTAGATTCCAGAAGAAGCAATATATGTATTCTTTTTAGAGGGCACAAAATGAGAAACCATTGCTCTCTTTGGGTCATTTTCCTAATTTGTAAAGAAAAAAAAAAATCCTACCCTGTACTTAATTGTCTTGCATCCTTTCTATTAGAACCAGTTTCATGAAAGCTGCCTACCTGGGAGGATTTCAGGAAACGTATTTTTAATACGTGTGCACGCCATAGCTCACTGTTGAGAGTGGCGTGAACGTTCATTTCCCGACCAGATTGATGGCAGAAGATCCTGACTGCTGGCATGACGTGGAAGTGCACTGGTTTTCTACCCAAACTTGGCACAGCGTTTCTACGTTTGTGTCCAAAATTTCTTTGTCAGATGCCTCATTTGCTTTACCCTTTAGCAGCACCAGCCGGTAGATGAAAGTATCGAACAAAGATTTCCTTGAACTGCAGTGCAGAACAGTTCTGAGCGATGGCATCAAAAGGTAAGAAATACTTCACTCACTGTTTTTAATCCATTTCTTCTGCTACCCAGAACATCCCCTCAAAGGTGGAATCTCAAGCTGGCTTAGATCCTTTTGGTTGCAAGGTGTCTTAAAAGCCATCCAGCCCACCCCCTCAATGCTATACCTGGGGAAGCAATCCCCAGGGAACCTGCAGGACGTCCGTCCACCTTCACACTATGGGCTATGTAGTGGCAGAAGTTGGAACTACTCTCTCTCCCCTTCCGTGGAGGGGCCACTAGTTCTGCAGTCTGAGGCAGTCAGTGAAGATCAGTGTGTGGTCTGGCTTCTTTATCTGGTTGGCATTTTGATAAGATTTCTTTATAATTTGATGAAGATCGTATTTAGTTTATTTTATTTTGAGTGAGAAGAATCTTATTTTAAAACCCACTTATGTGAGTTACCATCTTGTTTCTTTAGAACTTTGAAACAGTGGTTTATATTAGCAGAGAAGACATTTGTACCAACCCAGAAATATCCTTTTCGAATATAGTAGTCATTTTGAAGCAGAACATGAGGGTCTTTTCTTCAAATTCCAAATACGTGTACACTTTCTGGATCTCAAGTTCAATGACTGTAATTCTTAACATTTTCATCACCTACTTTTTTTTGACAGCATTCTTTTTGTCATTTAGTTATTGATTTTCCTGGGTTTGACAAACTAAGTGTTCTATGCGAAGACATGTACGCTTTTTCTGAAAGCTGATTTCATGAATTGAAGTAGCTGTCCTATTTATGTCCGTTGTATTTACTGAAGTACCTGGCACAAAATGCACCAACACCTAGAGTAGTAGCTGTATGTAAATGCTCATGAGTCCATATTGTTAATATAATTGTCAATTCACTTATAATCTGTGCAATACTGTACGTATGTAGAGATTGAGTTGTCAATAAAAAAAAAACATGGCCTCTTTGTGATCATAAAATTGCCTTTTCTTTCTAAGGAAGAAGGGTTTGGGAATAGTAGCTATTCCAGCAACTAATGAATAATGGCTATTTTTCTCTAACCAGTCTCGTCGCTTCCAGGAATTTCCTCCACCAGATTCTGTTGCATCGTCTTCTTCTTTCTTCTCCATGCAGCCCTTTGACAGAGCCATTTTGCATCCCTCTTGGCCCCAGACATCGGCATTCCCTTTCTTCTTCAGCCTTCTTTTCTCCCTTTTTCGCTTCCTCCATCCTCTTGCACAGATTCCTTCTTATGTTCTCCTGTCATAATCCCTACCTGGAATTCCAGATCTGTCATCCAGGCTTTATGTTCACCTTCAGAAAGTTTCTTAACAATTCACCTCAGGCATATTTGTAAGCACCTGCTCTCCACCTTCTTGAGGTTTCACAGATGACCGGAGACAGTCCCCAACCTCAGAGATCTTAAGAGTTGGCAAATGAGACACCAATAAAGACAATACCGTAAGTGTTGTAATAGGTAAAATTTATTGCATACTTGCTACGTGCCAGGAGCTGTTTGAATACAGTCTTCACAACAATCCAGTGAAGTACGTCTGACTCCTGTCATTTCATAGGTGAGAAATTAAAGCACAACATGAACAAAATAGTTGACCTGAGTAACACGGTCAGTGGCCAGGTCAGAATGACAGCCCGCCCACACCATCTGGCACCAGCCTGTGCTCCTAGCAGTTGGGCCATGCTACATGTTCTAGAACCAAGATGGGTGCACTTTCTAAGAAGTTATCCTAGAGGTTGTTACACTTAGCCCAAGTTTTAAAAGCCCTAAGAGATAAGGGGAAGAGGGAAGAGAATGGACAAAACTAAAAAGGATTGAAAACATGCAGGAAGCTAAGCGCTCTGAAGAACGTGAGGCAGCAGGGGCAATCAGACCAAGAACACTGGGGCTTTCACTGGCTTCTATAGTGTCACAAGGGCAGGGAGCCACTCAGAGTCGTTACAAGGGGGCCATCAAAACATCTACATTCAGAAGTGTCTGGCTGGGGGCTCCTGGGTGGCTCAGTCATTAAGCGTCTGCCTTCGGCTCAGGTCATGATCCCAGGGTCCTGGGATCGAGCCCCACATCGGGCTCCCTGCTCTGCGGGAAGCCTGCTTCTCCCTCTCCCACTCCCCCTGCTTGTGTTCCCTCTCTCACTGTGTCTCTCTCTGTCAAATAAATAAAATCTTTAAAAAAAAAAAAAAAAGTGGCTGGCTGCCCTGTGGAGTGTGGAGAAAGCTGACCGGAGAGGAGGATGGAAGGAGGTACCGCAGAAGCCCAAGTGGGGCCTGAGGGGGAGACCAGTGTGAGGATTTGGAGGTGCCATTGGCAAGACTCCATTGTGAACAGACCAAGCTCAGCAGGGCTGTGGTGTTGTGGCCCTTAGCTAATCACACTAGCAACACTTTACTGGGTTTTCCTGTTTTTTGTTTTTTTAGTCTCTTGCACAATATTGAAAGGTTTTTGAAGAGAGGAGCTTTATCATTTTTTTGGTGTTCATTTAACACCAAGCATGTTGTAATTATTTTTGACAAAAAGACTTTCCAACAGCCATGTCCTGTTCTTTCTCATTTCAGCCAAGCTCCACTTCAAACCCTGGGCATCCTCCTGAGAGGTCACTTCATAGTGCCCCCATGTGACATGGAGGACATCAGCTGCTGTGGTGGGAGCTTCACGCAGAGACAGAGCCGATGATTTTTTAGTTAGAAGAGCACGCTTAAAAGCCCACTCCAGAGGCTAAACTATCCCAGGAAAGATTTCAGGAGACGGAGGCTACAGTGCTCTTCTGCTACCTAGTGTCTCCCTGCCCTCTGCCTCTGCCCCACAAGAACGATTTTCTCTTTGGCAAAGAGGAAAATAGGGAGGGGGTTGGAAAAAATCTCTACAAGATCAGACATCCCTAAGATTTCTGGTACTTCCTAGGTTTCATTCATCAGGAAATACCTTTAAAAAACGGCCTTTCTTGTCTTGTTTTGATGCCTGAGAGACCAGGAAATGGGAAAATCTGTGATACTAAGCTGCCTGGTCATTCTCATGCCATCAAACAGCTGTGAGACCCTTGGAGCCTGCAGAGCTCTTTACAGATATCCAGTTAGTGCCTCGGCGCAGACGTGACATGGGCCATGAGATCACATCAACTCAAGGGTGAATACGCATGTAACCAGCCTGATGCTGGGGTTGAGTTCGGCAGTTCATGAGATGCCAGCATGCAAAGCTGTAGGTCTGGGGGGAGATACACCTGGATTTAAGTCATGGGCTCTGTCGTGTTGCAGCCTTTTGACCTGGCACAGGTCAGGTAATTTCTCTGAGCCTGCTGACCCTTCTGTAGAACAGTCTCAGGATTTGGGGAAGTTGATGAGCTAACTGCACATAAACAGCATCCACCTTAGAGTTGACACTCAGTACATTGTAGTTTTAGTCCCTTATACCTGTGGTTATCAGTCAAAGCAAGAGTTTAGGGAAAGGAGCGTTTCCATACAATTAGGGAGTTACTGCCCCATATTAAAATCTATTGAAGGAGATTTCCTTATTTCTTTACATGACCACAACAACTTGATTGAAAAGAACTACAAATATAATTATACAGAAAAATAGCTGATTAGCTATTAAGAGAATTCCCATGTTGGGGGGCCTGAGTAGCACAGTCGCTTAAGTGTCTGCCTTCAGCTCAAGTCATGATCCCAGGGTCTTGGGATCAAGCCCCAAGTCCGGCTCCCTGCTCAGTGGGGAGCCTGCTTCTCCCTTTGCCACTGCTGCTCCCCCTGCTTGTGCATGCTCTCCCGCCCCCTTAAATAAAATCTTAAAGAATTCCCACATGGATGTGTCTTAACTAAGGAGTAGTAGCTGAACCCCCTCCTTGGACTGGAGGGCGAGGGGTCCACACCAGACTTAGCCAGGCTGGGGGTCCACCTACCCTGTCCCTCTGCAATGCAGAGCCCATGTTGGGGTTAGAGTCACAGTGGGATATGTGATGTCGACTGCCTCCCTTGCTGTCCACCAAAATCTTCAGTAAAGGTTAGGGTTCTCATGAATGGCATAGAACGTAACCTTCCCCAAGGCAAGGGCTCTGTACCAGTGATAGCCTCCCAGTGTAAAACTCCCCTATGTCTTTGATAGCCCTAGTGGATTGCATCATGGATTTACTTCCGTGAACAAGTAATTCCCAACTGTTGACTATTAAGTACACATTTAGGGGTGCCTGGCTCGCTCAGTCAGAAGAGCATGCGACGCTCGCTCTCTGGGTCGTGAGTTCAAGCCCCACATCAAGTGTAGAGATTACTAAAAGAATAAACCTTACATGTTTATTGTTCTCCATGGAGTCCAGGTCTTCAAGCAGTCCTCAAGCTTCAAAGTGCAAATAAATCTGAGGATCTTGTTAATAGTGCAGACCTGATCCCAAAGGTCTAGGGTGGCCTGCGGTTCTGCACGTTGAGCCAAGTTCCACGTAAAGCCCATGCTGGTGCTTTGCAGACCACCTTTGAGTAGCAAGGTTTTAAACTATCTCCAGAAGTACCTGGTTGTATTAAGTGATAATTCGCACCTGTGTTTGTTTTTACCAACTACCCACTGCAGGGCTTCTGATGGGCATGAGTTGTGGCCGTGTTGCCACTCTTGAGATCACAGGGCCTCCCAGACTGCTTAGCTGCCAGTTTTAACTCTTAAGTGCTGTCTGATTCCTTTCAGTATTGTGAAATACTAAATGTCTCAAGGATGCCCATTTCCACTTAGTAGCTTCCTTCGTGGCTGGGTCCCCAGCTCAGTCCCCACTGCATTACCCAGCACAACCAGGTGATCTGGACGGCCCCTAAGTTGCTTTGACCCTAATACTCTGGAACCAGAGTCTTCTCGGATAGACCAAGTTTGACATCTCAGGGAGGGGAAATCTTGCACGGCCCTTCTCTGAGTGGCCACATAAGGTGGCACAGGGCCTTGCCATTCCTCAGGAAATGTGTTTTGTGGTAAACTGCACATAGCAGAATTTACCATTTAAACCACTTTTAAGGGTGCAGTTCAGTGGCCGTAAGTACCTTCACATTGCTGCACAACCGTCACCATCCATCTCTAGAACTTTCTCATCTTTCCAAACCGAAACTCTGTACCCATTAAACACTGTTCGTTCCTCCCCAACTTCAGTCCGTGGTAACCACCATTCTACTTCCTGTCTCTGGACTTGTCCACTCCAGGCACCTCAGCCCTGCAGCCATACAGCATTTGTCCTCTTGTGTCTGATCAGGGGGTACATTTTTAATCTTCATCAGCAGGAGAGTTGGCCTAAACAGTTACTACTGTTGCTCTTTAACCCATTCTGATGGAGTCCTCTATTCAGCCGTGAGACTGTCCATTGATGATGTGTCTGCTGATGGTTATTTATGAACAATTGAGGGCAGTTTAAGAAAAGCATCAAACAGGAATAAAAGCATCAAAAGACTGTGCACTCGACTGACCCAGACGAAATTCTTTATGAGGACTCGGGAGAAACAGGTAAAATGAAGTTAAATCTATAGCACGACCCTCACTCTTGTCAGGGAACAAAGTCTAGAGACACCATTTGGTGCTACAACAGATCTTCTCTTCCTCATTTTCTTTCCAATGCAGCCCCAATCCACTTCCAGCCCAACCATGTGGGCAGACGTAGGAAGCAGTCTGTCTCCTAGTAACTGCCTCCATTTCTCTTCTGCATCTTGTCCATATCTATAGAAGGAAAAAACTTGACAATTCAGCTACTTCATATTTGCTTTTTAAAATGTCTGTCCATGGGGCGCCTGGGTGGCTCAGTCATTAAACATCTGCCTTCAGCCCAGGTCGTGGACAGTCCTGTCCTCTGAGCTCTGTGGACAGTCCCCAGGTGATGATCCCAGGGTCCTGGGATTGAGCCCCGCATCGGGCTCCCTGCTCAGCAGGAAGTCTGCTTCTCCCTCTCCCACTCCCCCTGCTTGTGTTCCTGCTCTTGCTGTGTCTCTCTGTCAAATAAATAAATAAAATCTTTAAAAATAAAATAAAATGTCCATCCTCCACATTCCACCCATTACCCTCATGCAGGAAGTTAATCCCCTGACCCTTCATGTCATGCAGCTGTTTATGTGACCTTGAGGAGGTCCATATGTCACAATGCAGTTACTCACCAACACTAAGCATTAGCATTGCCAGATGCCAGGCTAGCCCAGGGGGTACCAGATGAATGAGGCCCAGCCCTGCTCCCAGACAAACAAGATGGCCACATAATTACAAAGCAAGTGGTAAGTGCTGTGACTGACCCACTCCTAGGGCATAATGAGAGAAGAGAAAAGGGAAAATTCAGCCAGTTTGGGCGTGGCTAGGAGAGGAGGGGTGAAGTGGGCGGTGGAGAGAGACAGGAGAGACTGGCGCTGAGAGATGAGGTGGTAGCTGGGTTCATGTCTACAAATCAGGGTTGGGAAACTGACCTCCTTCCAGCAGGTTACAGGAAGCTGGACCCAGCTGGTCATGACTAAGCCTCACCAGTCGCCCTCTTCCCTTGGGGCCTTCACTTAGCAGCCTTGCCGTCTTCCTGGGTTTCTGTACCTTCCTTCCCCACCATGTTCCCACGGACTCCTAGCCCTGACTTGGCTCTACTCTCACTACGCCTGTCCCCACATCCAGCCCTGAGAGTGTATGGCCTCGGTAGAGAGGACAGTCTGAAAGGAGGAGATCAAAAAATGGTAGAGAGCTTCCTCTCCCAGTTTCCAGAACCAGCATATGCAGACAAGCTGTTTCCCTTGGGCCCAAACTGGGTAGAAATAAATGAACTCCTCAAACTGGCTTCCATCCAAAGCTGCCAGGTGTTAACCTCCTGCCCCTGCCCAAGCAGGCCTGTCAGTCCAGCCAATGCCACTGAGCAACTATCATTCCCTGGGGACCGTCCACAGAGCTCAGAGGACAGTCAGCATCGGTCGATGGCAATTCCTTTGGATGGAATCGCACTGTTCAATCCATCTCACCACTTCGTACCCCAGCTGCTACCCACCTAGGTAGGGTCTTATCTTTCTTCTTCCCTTCCATACATACTACCTTACGTTTCAGGTGCTAGGGGCACCCATAAGCACACCGTGGTGGTGTGGACGGCAGACGAAGCTAAGGCTGGTCACCCAGCCAGTGCTTCCAAACTGGCCTAGGATCCTGCTCAACATTAGCCAGTTCCCTGGAGAAGAGGTGAGAAAGTAAGCCCCCCTGCGGCTGCACAGCTTGTCCTTGGTATCAAAGGAAGTGGAGTATAAGTGGTTGTAGGTGCGGAGATGGGTGGGCACGGTTGGCATTGACCACGGGAAACCCCAAGGACATCTGTTCCTCCTCTAGGTTGGTGAGTGGAACAGTGCCCCTCTTCTCTGGTTTCTGTTTTTGGGAGTCTGGCTCCTTCCTTTTGGGATTCTATCCTATAGGTCACATGCTGCTGCCTCCACCAAGCAAACCAGAATCAAGCAGAGATCTTCCCTGGAGCCTACACCAGGTACTGATTCCCATTTTTAAAGACACTGGCATCCTCTGTTCTCTCCTGAGGTCCCTGAGCCACTCCCACATCCCCTGACCTGAGTGCCTGTGACACAGCAGACTGTGAACTGCCCACATCACCATAAGATGTTCGTTACCACTTGCTTTCTCCCTGGCTCAGGGAGGATGGGGGCTGGCTCATTTGGAGAGGCCTCCAAGGAATGCCACTGTCCCCACGCAAATCCGTCCTGTTGGTTTGTTTTGGGCTTGCTTTCTGTGTGGGACCACACGGCTCCAGCTGCTTCATCAAGTGTTCATGGAGCCCTTGCTATCATCATGCCTCGTGTTGTGGAGGACACAAAGATGTCCCCCCGCCCGGAGGTGACCCTGCAGGAGGAGGGGTGGTGGTAGGAGGAGGAAGAGCATAGTGGTAGCAGGTGGTGGCCGTGATGAAGCTGCTCACACTTAGTGAGCAAGTCCTGGGAGCGAGGCCGCCTTGCAGGCAGTCTGCAGGACTCAGCACACTGAATCCTCATGCAGCTTTGGGGAGTGGACACTATACTTACCAGGCCCATTTTACATATGTGTATCCTGAGTACTGAGCTCAAGGTTAGCAAGAAAGACCTTGCTTCTCTTCTCCACTGTGCTCAGCTGGGGAAGGTAAGACCAGTACAACTGAACAAGATGGAAAACAATAGATGCCATTGAGGAGACGCAGGGACACTGTCGAGGAGGCTCAGAGAAGCGGGAGGACTACACGAGGGAGCAGAGGTGGGCTGCCACTGTGAGGAGAAGGGCACCGGGGCCTCTGTCTGGAGAGAATGGATAAACAGGCACGGACGTGGGAGAGTGAGGGCCGTGGGTGCCATGTGTGTGGGCGCTGTCAGACGATCCACCCTCGGGAGGAGAGCCACCCGACAGGGAAGTGGTGGGGACACGGGTGCTTATGGCTGCTGGCTGGGCTGAAAAGCCCTCAGCACTAGGTGAATGTGCTTGCATGCTGTGGGCCACTGAGGGTTTTGAGCGAGAGCAAGTTTGGATCAGAATTCTCTTTTAGGAAGGGTTGACCCAGTGTGGCTTATAGAAAATAAGACATTGGAGCACAGGATTTCTAGGGCACTAAAACTGTTCTGTGTTATGTGTAATACGTTTGTGTGGATACGTTTGTCATCACCCACAAGATGTACAGCACAAAGTCAACCCCAATGTAAACTAAAGACTTGGGTTAATAATAATATTGGTCCAGTGCACCTGGGTGGCTTGGTCAGTTAAGCATCCGGCTTGATTTCAGCTCAGGTCATGATCTCGGGGTTGTGAGATGGAGCCCCGCATTGGGCTCCCCACTCAGCAGGGAGTCTGCTTGAGATTCTGTCTCCCTCTTCCTTCCCCCTGTTCACATTCACTCACTGTCTCAAATAAATAAATAAATCTTTAAAAAATAATAATAATATTGGTCCATCAGTTACAATAAATGCATCACACTAATGTGGGGTGTTAATAGGGGATGGTGGAGGGCGCCTGGGTGGCTCAGTTGGTTAAGCGACTGCCTTCGGCTCAGGTCATGATCCTGGAGTCCCTGGATCGAGTCCCGCATCAGGCTCCCTGCTTGGCAGGGAGTCTGCTTCGTCCTCTGACCCTATCCCCTCTCATGTGTTCTCTCTCTCTCATTCTCTCTCTCTCAAATAAATAAATAAAATCTTTAAAAAAAAAAAAAATAGGGGATGGTGGAGAAATGTGAACACTTTTCAAACAATTTTCTGTAAACCTGAAACTGCTCTTTTAAAAAACAAAGTATTAATTATTCAGAAGTCTTTTTTTTAAGATTTATTTATTTATGAAGGGGGGTGGCGGGGGAGCACAGAGGGACAAGCAGACTCCGTGCTGGATGTTGAGCCTGAGTGGGGCTCAGTCTCATGACCCTGAGATCATGAACTGAAACCTAGAGTCAGATGCTTAACCAACTGAGCCGCCCAAGTGCCCCTCAGAAGTCTTTTTTTTAAAGAGCTTTTTAAAAAATTTTTAATTCCAGTATAATTAACATACAGCATTATATTAGTTTCAGGTGTCCGATAAAGTGATTCAATAGAAAAGATGTCTTTTATTAGCAAAATAATCAGAAAGTTGCATTCCTAAGAAACTCAGGTTTTCAAAAATTGCATTTTGAAAGCAATTATTTCAAAGGAAGGATTGACAGTTTCGTTCATTTTTTTCCTACCAAAATTTAAATAATAAAGGTCATTTTTTTTTTAAGTTTATTTAAGTAATCTCTACACCCAACCTGGGGCTTGAACTCACAACCCTGAGATCAAGAGTCACATGCTCTTCCGACTTAGCCAGCCAAGGGCCCCAGTAAAGGTCATTTTGAATAGTTGGCTGTGTACAGCCATAAAATCCACATATCAGAAAACACTCTGACCTTTGTGTCTGGTATCTGCTCAAGACTGATAAGCTCTCTTGGCATATCAGCCGTGGCAGGGTGGTGCATGCCACCTTCCACAATGCACTCCCAAGCCATTGTTCTCACCTTATTCCCATGCCACGTGCTGGTAAACAAGGCCACTCCACGGTCTGCTCTTGGCCAGTGCCACAGGCTTTTTCTTTCTCTGAGGTGCTGAATCTGATGGATCCATAGTTCCAATTCTGATTGCATTACAATCAATAGTAGCACATTGTATTCCCTAGTCAGTTGTGTTATATGCAATTCATCTGACGAGCCCAACAGAAGGCCTGTAATAACAGTACCCACTCTGGGCCGGCCACTATGCCACACACGAGGAGGGCATAGGCAGACAGATTCCAAGGCTGGGGAATCTGGGGAAATCCACCAGGAAAGCCCAGTAGGCATTTTGGTGACAAAATCATGCAAGAGCTAACAAAGTCCGGATGAATCCTTGGGTCCCTGTGGGCTCGCACCTACTTCCCAAGGGGTCCTCTTCTCAGACCAACATTCCCAAAGTGTGGAACCCTGTAATCTCTCCAGTGGGCCACAGGCATCTGGAGGTTTCAGAGGAAAAAGCAATGACACAGTAGTAGTCACA